CAGTGAAACTAAACCGTTTCACTTTAGATTTCCTTGGACTTTGGCCTAAGAACGTTCATAATCCTCGGCAAAAGTTAATGTGCGATTTTCGAGTGCTGATAGCTTTCTTGGGAATAACATTCTGCCTTTTTATTCCTTCAATACATTCATTGATAATAGTTTTTGGAAATATTTTATTGATATTAGATAATTTACAAATTACATTACCAGTAATGAGCTGCTCGATTAGAATCATAATTTTTTGGTGGAAAAAAAAAGGTAACCATCATTTTTGTTTACAAGCTATAAGTATGGTAAATAATATAATAAAATATTAAAAGTTGAATATAAATTATTATATATCCTTAAATCCTTCATATTTATTCACAGATATAAAGATTCAACTTATAAATAAATACATCTTATTTATTATATATAGTTAATCATGTTAGTATGCTTTTTAAAAAATTTATGAAATATTTATTAAGTATTTTCTCACAAATTTATGATATTATAAATGTTAGACAAAAATAAATTAAAAATAGACATATATAAAATTTAAAATAAAATCTTTTAAATAAGATTTTATTTTATTTTTATCGCTAATTTTTTGTAAATAAAAATATTATATAATTATTAAGCTATTAAAAAGAATATATTATATTAATCTTTTCAGTATATGCACATAAACACGTATACATATATTTATGTCAATAAAGAAGATTTTTTATTGACATAAATGTAAAGACATACATATGTAAATAATATTATTAAATTTCCATGATACTTTTTCATAGATTAATTAATATTTCTGATTTTAAATTATAATATTATTATGCTTTAAAAAATTTTTTAAATATGATAAAAAATATTTTAAATATTTTCATATGTTTTTATGGTTTAGGATTGACTTTATCATATCTTCATTATGCTGTAAAATGTGTATAAAATTATTTACTTTTTAAGCTGTTATACCGATTATAAACATGATCATGAAGGATTGGATAAACATAAAAAATGATCAAGAGAGAAATTTAATGATACGAAGAGCGCAAACTGCACGAATAATTATTATTTGTTCCTATTGCATAATGGGATTACAATGGTCTTTTATTTCTGTGCTGCCTATTTTTGGAGTGACAATGAGACTGACACCTAATATTACTGATCCAGGAAGGATACCAATGCCTTTACAATCTCATTATATTTATGATATAACAAAAAGGCCGCAATATGAATTAACATTTATTAGTCAAGCGGTCTATGTAGCTATCGGTATGATGGCCTATACTGGAGTGGACAATTTTCTCAGTCTCGTGGTTTTTCATATATGCGGACAATTAAACATTCTTGAGAATCGTATACAACATTTGGATAAATACAAAAATTATCCCAAAATGCTGAAACGCTGCATAGAAAAACATATACGTTTGCTTAGGTTTGTTACTTGTAAGAAAACATATATGATAATCTATATAAAATATGATTGAACATATTTGGCATAAAAAATGTCTTTCATAGAGCTATTGATATCATTGAAGATACGTATAATGGAATACTTCTCTCTTTATTTATATATTTTGCGATACTTTTTGCTTTCTATGGATTTCGGATAATTAGCGTAAGTATTATTGAAACTGAAAATTGAATAAAAAGACATTTATATCTAAATTGTCCTGCTGAATAATTACGTACATTTTATTAATTATAATCAATAAGTTATTACACTTAAATTTACATGTTATTACAAAATTAAATATTAATATTAATACTAATAGAAATAATTATGTTGTATCGTTTATGTTTTTTCATAACTCAATTAGTTATTTGATGAGGGAAATGATATGTCGATTACTCACTTGATCTATTTCATATCCACTATTATCAATATATTTACACACATGTGCCTATATTGCGTCCTTGGCGAAATTTTAGTGGCTCAGGTAATGAGTTACATGAATATTTTATTTTATTTTAGAATTACGTAAATTGATGTTGTGTAATTTTGCATGTTAACTATAAATTATCATACATAACTGATTTTTATTTATATATGAGTATTCATAATAATTATTATCTAAAAGTACTTTTAATATTTTTAAGTGCAACAAGGTATACTATGCGGCGTATAGTAATAAATGGTACATCATGGATCCAAAAATTGCAGGAGATTTGTTGCTCTTAATGACAAGAGGTTCTAAACAGATTTGTCTTACCGTTGGAAAAATGTCTCCTGTTACAATGGCCACATTTTGCAGTGTAAGATATATATTTAATTATATTTATTATATTAAAATATTATTCAATGTCATAAACATTTAGTTGAAATCTACTATATCTATATAAAATTTGAATTATTTATTTTATATACCAAATATACAATCTTCATCCAACTTTATGATTATTTAACTAAATTTATATTATTAATTATATTAATATTTAAAAAATATTTTTTTTAGTTAGTAAAAACATCCGTTGGTTATATATCCGTTTTGCATACAACAAGAAGGTGATACAAAGTAAGAAAAATGATAACTTTTTTTGCCAATATGATACATTTTTGATAGAATATGATAGAAATGTGCCGATATTATTAAATGTCATTTGCAAATAAATCTTATTGCATTATTCACGTAGAATGTACTTAGAATTCTTAAGTAATGGTAAAAATGTGTTAGTAATATAAAAAATGATATCGGAAAATTTAATTGACTTAAGAATTGAAATAATCATTACCAGCAGATACTTATTAAATTGTAAGCCAGTCTTTTTTTATATTTAACTATTT